CATTCTTTGTTATTTCACTTCAACTTGTAGTTTCCAAGAACCTATCTGAGATAGTTAAGTTAGGATTTACCGTAATTCCTTTACTAGTCAATGAGAAGAACTTGCAAATGACTCAGCCCTGAGGACTTCAGTTCTGTTTTGCTGCCCTAAACGAAAGGGGTAGTAGAACCTCCAGACCAAAGGAACTTATGATTAGCTTAATGTATGAGAACAGAATCTGGGTTCTCATACATCCCAGCCTCTCAGAACAAGAGGGATGCTGGCCTCTGTCTTTATTCTCTCAATCACTCTCTTGATTTCTCCTGCTGCTGCCTCCTCTAAGGAGCTCAGATCTCCTGCCCTGTGGCAGAGAAATACTTTCCCTTTTGACCTACCTTTTCTTCCCCAACTTCAAACCACACCCGTAGCCCTGCCTTGTTCTTTAATACTATTCTGCTTCCCACTTTCAGAATTTCTCCTTTTCTGGTGGAGTTGGTTAGTTCATCTGCTCTAAATCTGCTGTTTTGCTCTCTGTTGGGGTGTTTGAACCTAGAGGGCCTAGCAAAGAGAAAAAGCGAATGAAAACAGGAGGCAGTATAGTGATCTGATCTCAAAGTGAGGTAGCTGCCTCCTCCTTTTATGGCCACCCCGAAGGGCTGCCAGCCAAAATGAAGTTCAGTCCTTCTGCGACTTCGGCAAGCACTGTCAAAGGCATTTTGGCATAATTTCCCACGTTTGTAGAAAGATTACATCTCCTCTTTCCAATGAGCCGGGATAACATGACGATACTGCACCCGTGCACATTCTCAAGGATGATGAAGTCAGGTTGTGTGAGGACATGACAAAGAGCAGCAAATTGGCAAGACAGTGCAGGTCACAGGAAGACACATGCCATCTCCACCGGCCGAGCTCAGCGGGAGGTGGGCATTTACCCAGAGCCGGTCACTACTGGGCCGAAACTGGACCAAGACCACAAAAAGATCCCAGCACACAAAGCCAAACCTCACCTAGTAGGAAAAGAAAAGGGCAAATACAAGGAAGAAACAGTTGAGGAGATGCAGGCATACAGTGATTGTATATACGACTTCCATTAAAAAGTGCTAACGTGAAAAAGGCAAGCTATCTGGGGAAAAAAAAAAAGCTTTTAGCCTGCCCGAATTAACATTTTATAGGCATTTCCTATGTGATGTTTTGCTAAGAGACTTTCCCATTGTCATCCAGACAGATGAGTCCGGATGAAGACGAGAGCAGGGAATAAGCTGTTCGGTTTCATTGTTGAAGGTGGCAGTTAAGGCCGCTAACAGGCGTGTGACCCATACGCACAACTTTTCTCAGTGACATATAACCTGGTTACTTGAGGTTATTTTACAAGGTGTGAGTTTTTTTTTTTTTTTAATAGTATTCTCCCCGGAAGGGGACAAACAAAGCAAAATGAACAAATAAAAACAGAGTACCAGGGAGCATGCACTAGGGACAGTTCTGGAAAAATCTAGAAGGAATAGTTCTGGGATTTAAAATCTTTCAGCAGCCCAGGAATCAACAGCAACCTGAAAATGATTATTCTGAAAGTACGTAAGAGTGGAGAGAGTTGAAAAGGAGGAACAACTTGAATGGACTCACTTTATGGTCTCTCATGTGTCTGTGCCATGAGAGTTCAGTTCCCAAACTGGCCCACTGGTGTCTATCTTGATGTAAAAATAAACTGTACCATGGGTCCTCCTTGGTGGCATAGCAGCTTAAAGCACAGCACTAAGCAGCTACAGCCACTTCAGCACGAGTGCGATCCCTGCCCTGGGGGTGACCCACATGGCGCAGCAGACCTCTCCTGACCCGCCTGCTGCTCTCCTCAGCAGTGTACTTCGTCAGTCAGCCCGTTCTGCTCCCCACTCTGTCTGTGGTGAAGCCTCTCACCACCCCCACACCTCTGGCCTGTACCCCAGCTCTGTATGCATCAATAAATAAATCTTTAAACAAATAAATAAATAAACTGTACTATTATCAATGTATCATCTTTTCTACTAAATCCAATTCTGAAATCACACACAAATTCAAACCATAGTAAAAAGCTAGGATTTATGAGCACAAGGAGACCCACTTTTCCCGGTCTGCCTGTGTCTGATCTAACTCTAGGGGGAAAGATGGCCACTTGAACGCTCAGTGCTAACGCTTGTGGTCCAGCAACCACGCAGGCGTGGTGATCCCATTTGTCATCTCTCACTGGAAGAAGTTTACATTCTTATACAATGAGTTGTTATAATAATGATGATTGATTTGTTATTTGGTGTAAATATAGTTAGACTTTAGCTATTTGATAATTTTATGTTTCTTAATTTCCACCTAACAATCATCTCATGACATCAACTGTATCTTTCTCCCTGTAGACTCACTCAGTTATCAAGCTATCTTGAGCGCATTGTGAAAGCTGACGAAGTATTTAGATGTAACCAATTTCTACTCTTTTTTTCTCTGCCATTATACCTTACTTTAGACTCTCACTTTATTACACTCTCTTTAAAAAAAAAAAAAAAGATTTACTCATGCATGTATGCATACAGAACTGGGGTACAGGCCAGAGGTGTGGGGTGGTGAGAGGATTCAGCAGAAGCAGAGTGGGGAGAGAACAGGTGGATTGGCTAAAATACACTGGTGAGGGGGGCAGCGGGGAGACAAGGGAGCCTGCTGTGCCATGTGAGTCAGCTCCCTGGCTGGGGAATCAAACTGGGGGCTGCCGACAGCTTCATTGTGCTGTGCTTTAACCCTTTGCACAACCAGGGAGGCCCTCATTGCCTCTTTTTTGTTTGAGACTTAGTTAAGTGTCCTTAAGTAAACATCTCCAGATAGACATAGGTCCTAATTATGTGAAAATATTATGTGAAATATAAGCAGCTAACAATAATTCAGTCCTCTTTTCTTTTTCTAGTCCTTTGAGAAAAGTTCTTTGTCTATTTTTTTATTTAATTTTTGTAAGTTTATCCAAGAGACCATAATCATGATTGAGAAATGCAAACGCAGTATTGGGTACAGATGTACGAGGAGGAAAAGTCATAATTGCAAAGAATTTTCAGTGATCCATTTGTGCAACTTGAATGAAACTTTGAATGAACCATTTGTACAAACTTGAATGAAACTTCAAGTTATCTTTAGAAGCCTCATACTTGGAGATGGAAAATATGGGGAAGTTAAGGCCCAACTAAGTAGTTTAAATAGGCTCTTAAGAACCTGACTAAGGAGTTTGAATTTTTTTAGGGAATCCACTGAAGTTGTTTTGAGCATGAGGTAAGGCAAAAGTTGCATCTTGGTAAGATGAATTGGGCATAGTCATGCCTGATAGATTTGAATGGAAGAAGAGTGTGAAGACGAGTTAAGAAGTAACTGTGACAGCTCAAGGTGGAAGGGAGGGAAAGAGCCTGAATTAAGATTTCTGTAGCAGGCGTAGGAAGGAAGGTGGAGGATGCAAGATTTTGCCTGCGAAGAAACTTAACCTTCCTTGAGTTGGAGGTGGACACTGTGGGAAGGTGGGAGCCAAAGTGATTCCATTTCCAGAGAATGGGGGCATGGGATAAAGCTAGTGTCATCACACATGGGTGATTTGGTGATGGGAAGCCCACGGGGAGATGAAAAAAATGCACATATGATGTAAAAATAAACTATTATATTATTTTTTTTTAAAAAAGCTAGTGCCATCAGCAGCGACAGTGGGCAATAATAACTTTGGATTTTAAGAATGCTGAGTTTGCAGCTATAGTAATGTGTCCAAGTGGCAACACCTAGGACATGACTGGGAATTCAGGATTGTAATTTAGCAATTGAGTCTCAGTTTAGAAACCTGAGTTATCCAATAGGAGAGGAAATTAAAACTCATTTTAAATTAATTAAAAACCACTGGGTATGCTTTCAGTCAGAGCATATGATATCTTTCAGCAAATACATATAGTAAGAGAAGAAAAGAGATGAAGATTTTACCTTGAACCTTTTGGGTATTAAACAATTAGAACATAGAAATGGGCAGGGAGCCAGAGCCATGAGATCTTAAGAGCAAGAAGTGTGAAAGAGAAGTTAGAGAAGAAGGTAACCTAGACTAGTAAGGGTCAAGGGAGGAGGAAACAGCAAGAAGGAAGTTAAAAGGGAAGGATGCTGATGCATTTGACCCATAGGAAGTCATTAATGGTCTTCGTGTGATGAACTCAACATAGGGCAAATAATAAAAACTATTTTCTGTAGTTCAGTCCAACCAATACTTATCAGCCACCAGGCGTGTCCTTTTCCCTCATCTTTCTCAAATTAACTAAGGGGCCATAAAGTGCACATCTATGAAATGTGGTTTCTTTGAATCAGTTGAGGAAGTTAAACAAAATTTGGGACAAAATTGATTACCAAGAAATTGCTAATGAGGGACTACCATTTTCTCTGTCCTGAAATTCAGGTCTATGGTATAACTGTGGAAAAGAAAATCACTATAATGATTACCCCACTCTTCTGAGGAACCTTTCACTTGCTCCTGCCTGCCTTTCCCCTTCCCCACCCTGCCCCCAGACTGTGTTCTATCAGCAGATACACTACTTGAAATGAGTGACTGAGATATTGGTTTGACGTTTAGGGCATATTTAAAATGCCAGTTTTTGAAAACTTGACATTTTATTAGATAGAGAGAAGTTTTATTCAGCTAAAGAAAGCTTCGTTTTTATTTAAAATACCCTTGCAAAGAAAGTGAATTCAACTTTTAATATCTGACTCTTTGGGTGGAGATGAAGACTGTGGTGATTTGTTTTCAGAAGATACTGGTTTTTAAAATATTCACCAGTTTCACCTCAAAGTTTTAGCTATTTGTGGCTCAGCTAATTTCACTTCTCTAAATGTCATCCAGTTCTGCTGTCCTGCCCTGGGGCTCTGCCCTGGGGGTCCTAACCGCAGAGGTTACTGGGAGGGCAGAAAGGGGATGCCTGGCCATGGAGAAGGGGTCACTGCAGCTACTTCTTAGCTCTTTCTAGGGAGATTTAATTATTCTTGGAATCTTATTACAGAAGCTGAAAAGACAATCAACCAAGTATAAGGTAGACAAAACCTACCCGACAACTGTTGCGGAGAGACCCAAGAATCTCAAGAAAAACAGATATAAGGATATCTTACCTTGTAAGTTTCATTACTCCCTGTAAACTTGTACTTTCTTCTAAGTTCAGTCTCATCCTTTTTTTTTTTTTTTTGTCCTTTGTTTGCTGTTCCAAACCTTGAATTTGACACATTAGTTTGTGCTATGGATGACTCTGTAAGAATACTCACCCGTCCGAACCCACTGCTCAGTTTTCCTGCCAGTCTTTGCTTACAATCGACCTGCTGAAGACCCCCCCTCTTAAGTATGTCCTTTGTATTATAGATGATCACAGCCGGGTAGAGCTGTCCCTGATCCCCTCTGATGAGGACTCCAACTACATCAATGCCAACTTCATTAAGGTGCTCTCCTTATTCTCTATTTCTCCAAGATTTCTTTAAAAAGAGGGGAGATAATAGACAAGAAGAGGATATTATTTGTAGTCATCTTGTGTGATTCTCGTTCTCTTTTAGGGAGTTTATGGACCCAAAGCTTATATTGCCACTCAGGGACCTTTGCCTACAACTGTCCTGGACTTCTGGAGGATGATTTGGGAATATAGTGTCCTGGTAAGTGCAGAATTGCTTTTGTTACTCTCCTCTCTACTTCTCTAAGTGGAAGTAGGGTGTTAGTGTATGTGACTGAGACTACTTCCTCTGCATTAAAATCGGTGTTTTTTTTTTTTTTTGGCCAGTTTCTAGACCTTCAGCATTCTGACACGTTAGTCAAAAGTATCATATCATTCTTGTTCAAGGAAATGGAAATTTTCATCTTGACAGGCTCATTTGTTAACAAGAATTTACTGATTTGAATAGAGAAAAAGGAAGTAGGACAGAGAAGAGGGAAGGGAAGGAACAACCTTTATAATTTAGTAGGATACCTTTTTTACTAAAAAAGCAAAAAAAAAAAAAAACCCAAAGCCCAAGCAGAGTCCATCCTGACCCCCAAGCCCTTCAGATTAACCCCTCTAACGACTGTGGGTCTTGTGTCTCCGTTTTCTCCCCAGATCATTGTGATGGCGTGCATGGAGTTTGAGATGGGGAAGGTGAGTTGCCTTCTAGCTTACTTAACTGTAAAGGAAAGAAGGAGGGAACAAGACAGCACAATTTACAGAAACAGTTACCTACAAAAAAATTATTTTTCTTTTCCTTTTTCAGTTTGGGAATAGCAGCTGACTCTCACGGATTTTTTTACCCCTACTTTCACTTTTGGTTCATTTTCCTGGTGGATTCCATGGTTTAAAGTAAAAATAAGGAATAGATTTGAAAATGTTAAAACATTCTCTTTTCCATGCTTAAGAATCAGACGTCATTAAGCTGTTACAGCAGCGGACCTGGACTTCAGGGGCCCTCGGCCACACATGTCTACTGAGCTCCGCTGTGTGGCTGGCTCAGGCTGGCGCTCAGTTATTTTACTCCGTTTTAGTGCATTGAAATGCAAAAACTGATATGCAATTCAGTCCTTGGAAAATGTTATTTATACATTTGGAACAACTTGGGTATGTTGTTTTCAACTATAAATTGTATGAAATCTAAATGGAAATAACAGATTTCCAATAAAAAGTGAGCATACTAATTGAGAGGTACTGTAAGTGCAAAATACATAGCAGATTTTGAAGATGTAGTTTAAAAATATCAACTAACTACCGACTTTTTTTGACATTTTGGGTTAAGTAAGATAGTTTTTTTGTTTTTGTTTTTTATTTACTCATACAGAACTGGGGTACAGGCCAGAGTTGCAGGGGCAGTGAGAGGCTTCACCAGAGACAGAGTGGGGGACCGAACAGGCAGATCGACGAAGTACACTGCTGAGGGGAGCAGCGGGCGAGACAGGAGAGGTCTGCTGCACCATGTGGTCACCCAGGGCAGGCAGGGATCGAACTCATGCGGAAGTGGCTTTTGATTCTTGTGTTGCGCTTTCACCTGCTGTGCCACCAGGGAGGGCCAAGTAAGATAGCTTTAACCTTTTTCATTTTTGAATGTGGCTATTAGAAAATTAAAAATTAGGGGCCTCCCTGGTAGCCTGGGGGTTTAGTCTCAGCTCCAGCAGCACTATGGCCTGAGTTTGATGCCCAGCAAGCTGACCCACATGGCACAGCAGACCTCTCCTGTCTCGCCTGCTGCTCACCTTAGCAGTGTAGTTAAGTAAAGCTGACTCTTCTGCTCCCAACTCTGTCGCTAGTGAATCATTTCACTCTATCCTCATCCCCTGCACCTCTAGCATACACCCCAGTTCTTCTACACAAATTTTTTTAAATTAAAAATTAGATACACAGCTCCTTTTACAGTCTTATTAAGCAGCAACCTTCTAACCTGTCTCCCTCTATTCTAAGTTGACAAGGGTGTTAGTATCTCTGTTAGCTCATGCACCAGACATGATTTCTGTTGATGCTTTTGAAATACTGAAAGTGCCAAAGGTCTCTAGTTTTACGTTTTCAGACCTCTAGGAAGTCCTTAACCTATATATCCCTAAATGTTAGCTTTCCCATCCTCAGGGGAGTCTCTGAGGGGAAACGTTGAGGTGTTAGCTTTCCGCAGGGTTACAAGTGCTTAATGTAAGATGAAGAATGCAGAGCTAAATTTGCTTCTGAATGAGGAAGTGGCTCTTGCTACCTAAAAGAAACTAGAATGTATGGAGGGAAATCACTGCATTCTGCTTTGTACCGCAGAAAAAGTGCGAGCGCTACTGGGCTGAGCCAGGAGAAACACCACTACAAGTGGGGCCTTTCTCCATAAGCTGTGTAAGTATCACCCCTGGCCCCACTGGACTGAGCAAACTCTGCAGGGTCTACTCTACAGAGAACAGTCCTGTCATGTTGGCCTTTGAAATAACTACTGTTTAATCTACTTCTTAGGAGGCTGAAAAAAGAAAATCTGATTACATCATCAGGACTCTCAAAGCCAAGTTCAAAAGCGTAAGTATGGAACAGGTGAGATAAACTGAAAAGCCTACAGAGGTCAGGCAGGCAAATACAAATGTGACTCAGGCTGGACATAATAAATTAAGGATAGGGGAGCCTTGATGTTCAGAATAAAGCCTGTACACAAAAGAGACAACACCATGGCACACTATAAAGTGACAGTAGGCATAGGGTGAATAGAGATTGTATAGTGCGTAGAGGCCAGTGTGAGAGCTGAGGCTGCCCAGTCTCTAAGACAGAGGGACGTAAGGTAGCAGCATGCCAGTGACCCAGCTCTGGGCTGGACTGTCTTCATCCTGACCTCCTCCTGTGAGTGGGCCAATAGTAAGAGACCCGAAATCATGTTTAATTGTTCTTAGAAGGCACCAGGAGTCTATAGGAAAGAGAGCAGCATACATTGCTGACCTGCTGTGGATTCTACTGAGTAAGTCAGAGTAATCCTAAAACAGATTGAGGCAGGCCCTAGCCCTGAACTCACCTTTTGCCCCGGCTATTCATAGGAGACTCGAACCATCTACCAGTTTCATTACAAGAACTGGCCAGACCATGACGTGCCGGCCTCCATCGACCCTATTCTTGAGCTCATCTGGGATGTGCGCGGCTTGCAAGAGGACGACAGTGTCCCCGTGTGCATTCACTGCAGGTGGGGTGCCGTGGGGTGAACCTTCTGCCCGTACACCCCAGTGTCCCTGTCTGCGCATGACAGGAAGACTGGCTGTTGGAACTGAAAGTGGTGTGGGCGCACGGGAGGCATGTCCCTGGTTCTGGCTTCATCTCTTCCATTTGATCAGGAAGGCATGAAGTTCATTTGCTTTTCCCCCTTGCTATATATGCACATATTTAACTTTAATTTGGAGCTTTCAATTTGGCTCTTCTGTCTGCTTCCATGTTCTATTCCCCTCCCCACCAAACCACCCGTGCCAATACCCTTCTCTGCCAGGAATGAAGTTTAGAAATAAGGGTGAGAGGAAACCAAGGGTGAATCACAGAAACAGACTATAGTAAATTCAACAATAATGTTCTTTATTAAATAATTTATTTATTAAATGAATGGATTTTCTGAAAAGACTGGGAAGCAGTCTGGCTGGAGAAACTCTCACTGAGAGAAACTCTCACAGATCCTAGTTTCTAGTCCCTGTCCTGAGGTTCATTGTACCATGTAGCAACCGACAAGTGTGTTCGGGGAAGTGGTAGGGTTAGGGAGTTTTGTTGTTTCCAGCTTTCTTCCTCAAATCTGCTGGTGCAATAGCACAGTTGCAAAGGTCTGCTGTCTGCCGTGATGCACTCACCTGTGGTCTTTCATTTTAGTGCCGGCTGTGGAAGGACAGGTGTTCTCTGTGCCATTGACTATGCGTGGATGTTGCTAAAAGATGGGGTGAGTGTCTCTCCGAGGGTCCTTCCCACTTACTTATCCTGCAGCCATCAGACTTAAGAATTGTTGGTTCTTCAAAACCTCTGTCTCCATAATTCATCGTTTCTAGAACATTTTCTTGTAGACCTTCTTTGTCGGGGGTTAAATTAGAAATTACGTTGATGGTTCTCAAAGTGAGGTTCCCAGCCAAACAGCATCAAGCGTCCCCTGAGACTGTTTTAGCAGTGCAGAGTCTTGGGCCCCACCTCGGGCGGGCTACAGCAGCAACGCCGGGGAAGGGAGCCAGCAAGCTCGTCAGGTAGCTTGAGAGCCAGTGTTTAAAAAGGGTAAATTACCTAAAACGGGTAATTCTATAAATCCCTTTTCTGCAATTGCTTTAGTCAATGGACTCAAGTTGCAATTAAACTTTGCATTCAATCCATCAAGCTTTTTTTTTTTTTAAGGAACAATAATAACATTTTTTTTTTGTCCATTTCTTACACGGTCTTCCTCCCTGACAATCTTCACCTGAGCCTCTGCCATAGCCTTTAGCACAACTGCAATCAATCATTGCACATTTTCCTCCTCTATCAGTTTCGCAGAGGCCTGCTCAGTCCCCTGGCTTCTTGTCATCATCAACCTTAGGTTGGTCTGGTGTCAGCACAAAGGACGTCACCAGGGTGACACGCACAGCACATCACACAGACATCTGTTGGGCATGTGCTTAAGGCTTTGGTGATTTTTTAGAATCCACATGCTGGGTGTCCTGAGGAGGTCCCCAGTACCTCTGACCCCATGGTATTAGCATGTACCCCACGTCTAGCAGCAAGGCCTTTCTTACCCATGGCAGTGGGCTGCAGGTGGGGCAGAATCTCAAATGCACCCAAGCCTCTGTCTCTGTGTGCCAGCAGGGAAAGAGAGCAATCACTTTATTTTTTATCATTAAATCTGTTTTTTTTTTTTTTTACATAGTTGTGAATGTTTGGACAGTATTTGATTTCTCTCCTCAGATGTAGTCCCATAGTTCTCCCACCACCACAGCACCCATGAACCGTCACCATCGTTGCTTATGCTCTCCCCTGTTTTGACCCTAATCCCTCCTCTTCCCTTGCAGTTGCCTCAGATCGATGGTGCAATTTTTGTATTTTTTCTGACCCTTCATTCATTCTCTCTAGACTCCACACACATATAAGTGAAAGCATCTCATGTTATCTTTTTCCTTCTAACTTTTTTCTGCTTAACATGATCCCTTCCAGCTCCATCCCTGTTGCTGCAAATAACATGAGTTTACTTTTTGATTGCTAACTCGTATTCCATTATGTATACTATACCACAACTTTTTGACCCATTCATCTGTTTTGGGAGCATTTGGGTTGTTTCCATATCTCAACTATTGAAAATAGCTCAATCATTTTTAACAGGCTAGTCTAAAACAGGAAGTTTAAAAAGTGGGTTTTAGACCTATCTACCAATTTTTATTTCATAAAACTCTCTTTCTTGCTCATCTACTGAGACTTTTCCCTCATTTTATCTTTAACCTCAGACATGGGATCAATCTTTCCATGGGCAATCATCCTGCAGAGTTTCTTTAATCCTTCCCGTGGGAAAACCCATGCCCTAAAATGATGAAACAAGTGATAAGAAACTGCATTGGTTGAACAATGAATTTTTTTCTGATGTTATTGCAAGGCAGTGGCAAATATTTATTAACAAAGAAAGGATTAAAGGAATAAGATAATTCTTCTTTCTGTTTGATAGATAATTCCAGAGAACTTCAATGTTTTTAGTTTGATCCAGGAAATGCGAACACAGAGGCCTTCATTTGTTCAAACTCAGGTGAGAATTACGTCAAATGGACCATAATGAGGGTCTTGCTGTAGCTCTCTGCTTAATACTAAGGCATCCAGAACTAGCTACCATACTGCACAGCTTAGCTGACAAGCCAATTTGCTATTAAGTTCATTTATCCAATTGTCCCCTAACTCTAAATATGCCAATATTTTTCCTGTCTTCTTTGCCTTGGGTCAAATTCCCTTTATTCCTTGACTTTCTGTCATTTCAGAAAGTATAATAAACCAATAAAATATTTCTTATAAAGGATGTTGAGAAAACGCAATAGGTTGCTTGACTTATTAAAAATAAATAGAAGGATCAGATTAACTTTAAATTTTTAGTAGTAAATTCACTTCTATAATCAGAGATTTGCAATATCTTTTTCAGGATGTGATCAGAGAGTCTTGAGAATACGTTTTATATACTCATCTTAAGAAATACTGAGAAACAAATCAACCATGATCTGTTCACCAAAGAGGTCACCACTGTTAATAATTTTCTGTTTTAAAGATTTATTTATTTAAGTGTACAAGAACCAGGGTACAAGCTGGAGGTGGGAGGAGGATGAGAGCATTCATCAGAGACAGAGTGTGGAGCAGAAAGGCAGATTGACTGAAAGACAATGCTGAGGGGAGCAACGGGAGAGACAGGAGAGGTCTGGAGCAACGGGAGAGACAGGAGAGGTCTGCTGCGCCCTGTGGGTCAGCTCCCTGGCCTGGGATCAAACTCAGGCTGCAGTGGCTGTGGATAGCTTCATAGTACTTCGCTTTAACCCACTGCACCACCAGGGAGGGCCCTATTAATAATTTTCTATTGTCTTTCCTGGTCCTTACTGTATGCAAACATAAAACATTGTGATTATAATAATACTGTCTGTATGATTATATGTGTAACACAATATTCTAACCCACTCCAGGTTGTTCATACTTGTTTACTCATTAAGAATGCTTTTTTTCTGCCTTCTTTTCTTTCCAGCTCAAGTTCTACCTCCCAGGTGAAACATTCCCAGCCCAAATCTCTCATTGTTGTTAATATTAATTTCACCCATATTTCTACACCAATAATTTAACTCACATTTGAAAATGATCCCTATCTTTATAATAGTTTCTGGCTTCCACTCATTCATTCATTAAACATTTATTGATATTTATTATGTAACAGGCACTTTGTATAATTTGTGAGTTACTTTTTCAAGTTCTGAATGTGTTTACATCACTTAGAAATGAACTTGTACATAGAATCAGAGTAAAACAATTGACAGTGGGAGTGCAGATATTTTCATCTCAGATTTGTGAGTTAAAGGGAAAAAATGAAGAGCTATTATAGAAAAAGTGTTTTGTTTGGCCCACACAGGTTTTTCCACTAATAGCTAGTGGAAAAATACAACTTTTTTTTTCATGTATCCTCTGTAGGTGTTTTCTATATTCTGCCTATGAGGGGGAAAGTTTGTGTGAAATGAGGGCATGGGCTGGTTTAATGCTTTCACACTTAACGAAGGCTGGTCCATGTAATGTCTAAAGTTTCCAAGAAATTGACAACCTAGTTGTATAGTTGTATAGTAACCAGTTCTAATGCTGAATCTATAAAGAAAACTACACTCCATTTCAGAAAATCTTCACGGCAGGCTGAATTTTAATTAAGACTTGGAAGATCATGGAAACAACTGGAAGTTAGACTGCACATGCTGACATCACTGAGGAACACCGAGCAGGTGTTTTTCTGACACTGTTCAAACCAGGAAATAGCATTGTCACCAGCTGAGTACTTCCTGTCTGATTTTCTTCTTAAAAAAAAACTAAAGAGTGACTACCTCAATTAAAAATACATTAATTTTAAAAAGTCAATTCGTAAAAAAATAAAAAATTCAAGCATGTACCAACCCCTGTACTGGGTGATACAGACTTTTTTTTCTTTTTAATTTGTTTTTCTGGTTTGGTGGTAACACCAGCTGACGTCATTGTATATGAATCAGAGGAATAGGTTCACAGCTCCTCAGATACACATCACCACACCCCTCCACCCCTGCCCCACTATCCATATTTAGCCCTTAATACTATGGCTCCCCACCTCCCTGGTGGCGCAACTGGTTAGGACGCAGCACTGCAAGCTGGCGGCAACCGCTTAGTGCGAGTTTGATCCCCGACCCTGGAGCTGACCCACAAGACTCGGGAGACCTCTCCTGACCTGCCCGCTCCTCCCCTCAGCAGTGTACTTCTTCTATCGGCCTGTTCTGCTCCCCGCTCTGTCTCTGGCGAATCCTCTCACTGCCCCTGGCACTCTGGCCTGTACTGTAGATCTGGATGCATAAATAAATAAATCTTAAAAATAAATACTATGGCTCCACTTTCCCCCGCTAGCAGCCTCATTTCTGCATTGATTTCTATGCATTCTATTTTTTTTTTTATATCTCTGCTAGGGAATAATTTCAGCATCTTGATCTAAGTACACTAAGGCAAAAGACCCAGGTTCTAACCCAAGTCCTGTAAAAATCATTTCTGTATGACCTTGGACAAGTTGTAAACAGGAATAATGATCTAGTTACTTGCTAGATCAACTGTGAGGGTCAAATTAAACAATAAATATCAAAGCTATCTACCTACCAGCTACAACCTATCTGCTTTCTTTTTTTCCAGATAAGATGAAGGTGACTTAAAAAAAAAAACTTGTGTTCAGCATGAAATAAAAAATTTAAAATATTAGCAAGGAAAGCAGAAGGGTGGTGGAATGCGGGAAGATAAGAAAGTGGGGTTAGAACACAAAAGCAGGAGTCCAGGGGTCCTCCCTGGTGGCACAAGGGGTTAAAGCCCAGTACTATGCCACTGTCTACAGCCACTGCAGATTGAGTTCGATCCCCGGCCAGGGAGCTGGCCCACATGGCATGGCAGACCTCTCTTGACCTGCCCGCTGCTCCCCTCAACAATATATTTCAGTAAAGCTCCCAACTCTGTTTCTGGTGAATCCTCTCACCCTCCAATACTTCTGGCCTGTACCCCGGTTCTGTATGCATAAACAATAAATCTTAAAAAAAAAAAAAAACAAACAGTAGGTCATGAGGCCCTTGTACACTAGTTGAGGTAAGTTAAATATTTAGCTGTTTCTGGTAGCCTAAAAGTTCTTTGAAATCTGCAGTGGTTTACCCAAACAGAAGGCACTGTCATTAAACTATTGTTACTGGTATTTTTAGGTCTTCTATACTAAGGATTTGGTTGGTGTCTCATTCCTGAAATCTGGATGTGTAAAATTCACCAAACTCTCTCTCTCTTTTCATTTGTGATGCTCTTTAGGAACAGTACGAGCTGGTCTACAAAGCTGTGTTAGAGCTATTTAAGAGACAGTTGGAAATAATCAGCAATAAATACTCTGGAACAGAGGTAAATTTTAAGCTTAACATTTTGTTCATATGTTTTTCATGTTTGATTTTGGGCAAGGAACCTCAGATTAGTTGCAGAATTTCTTATGTAGAATGTCAATTTGGTGACAACTAAATTGGAGTGCCAGATGTGCCCCTGAAAATCTCCTGTGAGTAAGGGAAAATTAATTGAGATACTTTTACTTAGAAAATTTATTTCTTGACTTACCTATTGCATACAATTTTCAAGTAAATTTAGAAACAATAGGAGTGAGAGAAAGTGCAAGCATAAGTCCTGTTCTTATGCTGTAGAGGTTTGTGTGATGAATTAGAGAGTGATAATTATAAAATGAAATCACAGTTGAGCCATGATGAGACTTTTTGGGTTATTCTAGCCTCATTTTTACTGCCAAGGTCTCAGAGAATTTTGAGAATGATTTTAGCTGAAGGTCTTGGGCATAAAAGCAAACACAGGCCCTCCCTGGTGGCGCAGCAGGTTAAAGCACAGTACTGAGAATCTAAAGCCGCTTCCGCATGAGTTCGATTCCCACCCGC